GGCTGAGGCAGGCTGAGGCTGGCGCTGAGGCAGGCTGATGCTGAGGCAGGCTGAGGCTGAAGCTGATGCAGGCTGAGGCTGCGGCAGGCTGAGGCTGAGGCCGAGGCTGAAGGCAGACTGAGGCTGAGGCTGAAGCAGGCTGAGGCTGAGGCTGAGGCAGGCTGAGGCTGAGGCTGCGGCAGGTTGAGCTGAGGCTGCTGAGGCTGAGGCTGAGGCTGAGGCAGGCTGAGGCTGAGGCAGGCTGAGGCTGAGGCCGAGGCTGCAGGCAAACTCAGGCTGAGGCTGAAGCAGGCTGAGGCTGAGGCTGAGGCAGGCTGAGGCTGAGGCTGAGGCTGAGGCAGGCTGATGCTGAGGCAGGCTGTGGCTGAGGCTGAGGCTGATGCAGGCTGAGGGTGAGGCAGGCTGAGGCTGAGGCCGAGGCCGACGGCAGACTGAGGCTGAGGCTGAAGCAGGCTGAGGCTGAGGCAGAGGCAGGCTGAGGCTGAGGCTGAGGCAGGCTGATGCTGAGGCAGGCTGAGGCTGAGGCTGAGGCTGAGGCAGGGTGAGGCTGAGGCAGGCTGAGGCCGAGGCTGAAGGCAGACTGATGTTGAGGCTGAAGCAGGCTGAGGGCGAGGCTGAGGCAGGCTGAGGCTGATGCAGGCTGAGGGTGAGGCTGAGGCAGGCTGAGGCCGAGGCTGAAGGCAGACTGATGTTGAGGCTGAAGCAGGCTGAGGGCGAGGCTGAGGCAGGCTGAGGCTGAGGCAGGCTGAGGCTGAGGCTGAGGCAGGCTGAGGCTGAGGCTGTGACTGCGACTGCTGTTGCCACTGCGACTGCCATCGCGAATGCGACCACGACTGCGAGAACAGCAGAATTCTACAACAGGATTCTTATCTGAATCTTAAGGGGAATGCTTCCAGATATGCTCCTACACATCGCTGTTAGGTTGCTTTGCCGGGATAATTGTCTGTGTGTTCGTTGCCCATGTTGCGCTCTTGGGGGCGGGTGTCGTTCGGACGCGTTGCGTGGGGAGTTTTGATGGTGAAGCAGTTCCCTGGGGGTCGTCTCTCGATGGGGCGAAATAGAGTCGTCGTCAAGATGCTTCTTTGGGGGGCCTCTTGGGGTCTGTTGAGAGGCCGTTCGGGGGCGCCTGGGAGACATGTTTGAAGCCTTCTGGGGCTTCTTTTGGGCCTCCTGGGAGTCTCCTGGGGCCTCTTGGCGACATCTTGGGGCCTCTTGGAGGCCTCTTGGGGCCTCTTTGGGACCTCCTGGGCGCCTTCTGGGACGGAGGGCTCCATTTTTGAGTTCTCGGTATCCCTCCTGAGTCCCTCTTGGGCCCGTCTTGGGGCCTCTTGGTCCGTCTTGGGCGGCACTTGGGCCGTCTTGAGGGCTCTCTTGGGTCGTTTCGGCGCCGTCTTGGGAGCTTCGTGGGCCGTCTTGGAGCGGTCTTGGGGGCCTCTTGGGCCGTCTTGGAGCGTCCGGAAGCCGAAAAAGCCAGAACACAAAAAACATCGAAAAAACCAATGAAATCAACGATTTTGGCCTCTTGGGGCTCTCTTCGGAGGCCTCTTGGAAGGCTCTTGGGGCGTCTTGGAGGCCTCTTGGGCTGTCTTGGGGGCCTTTTGGGCCGTCTTGGGGTCATCTTCGGCGTCTTCGAGCGCTCTTTGGGCGTCTCGGGGGCCTCTTGGGCAGTCTTGGGGGCCTCTTGGGGCACTCTGAGCGCGCTCTGGGGAGCCTGAGAGGCCGCACCCAGAAGGAAAACCATCTCTGAGTAGACTTGGTCGGGCGGCGGTCGGGCGGCGGTCGGGCGGCGGTCGGGCGTTGGTCGGGGTACTTTTCGCCGGGGGACCCCCAGGGGCCGCCCCGCGCGCGCGAACTAGAAATACTGTTAATACTGTTAACCAGTTACCGGAGATCTTAGCACGCCCTGGCCCGTTGGGCCGGCGAATTCTACTAGATGGGTGTACTACATGTTCGGTTCGGACGCGCGCCTCCAAGGAGGACAGGAGAACATATAGTACTAGTATGTCTTTGTGCGTCCCATTTCCGGCTTCTCGGTCTCCTCTGTGGGCACATCGTCGGGGCGTCCGACTCGGCGGCGAGATCGGAGATCATGATTTTCTGGGTGTGTGATTTCTTGTTAGATTGTTTGCTTCTTCATTCTCCTTGTTCCTCGTCCCTCTTCCTTCTCCTCCTCGTCCTCCCTAGACTCCAGGCCTGTCCTCATTTTTCAGTCCGCTAGCCTTCAAAGCTCCCGGTCCCGTCCTCCAAGCGTCGAAATCAACGCGGCGCCACCAGGTGTTTTTTTGGGGGCGATGCGTCATCGTTGAGCGGCCCTTGATTTCAGCGGCGTGTTCGATACGTCTTGCCGAGCGGCCTCTTCAAAGAATGTCTCCCCGCCAGCGAATGTAGATGCGTTGCTGGCTTCAGCGTTTGCATCAAGGCGGGTGCAAGCTCCCCGCGGCGAGACTCCACTCCGAGTTTCTCAATATGCGTCGGGGGGGGCGTCACCCCCGCCGACAGCCCCACATCGACCCCCGTCGCGGCAGCCACCGCGCGCCGAAGGCGCTCCGACCCCCGTCGTGGCGCGACGGCGAGGCAAGGTGGACCCCCGTCGGGGGGGTACCCCCCCCACGCTTATTTGAGAAGCCCAGAGCAGTCTCTTCCCCGTTCGTTGCGGCGAGACTGGCAGGAAGCGGCTCTGTCGCCACGTCTTCTCTCTCTCTGGCTCAGGGGCTTTCCGGGGCCCGAGGGCGGCCCACGGGGCTTCCCGGGGCCTCGGGAGCACACGAGGGCGGCGCGAGAGCGGGCCCGAGGGCGGCCGCGGCGGGTTTTCTCCAGCCCCCTCTGGCTGGGGATTCGTTTTGAGGAGTTACCAGTTTGAAGCATAGCCCTATCCCTATGTTTGACATCACCTCACCTCGATGCCGGTCTTGAGGATTCTCTCAGTTTCTGAGGGCCCATCCCTAAGATTGTCCTCGCTTTTTGCTCGCTCATCTTAAAGATAGGGATAAGTTCGAGGCTGGTTAAATGGAGCGCTGCGGTCTCCACTTCTCCTCCTTCCTCTCCTCCCGCCTCCCGCCTCTCGCCTTGTGCGTACTTCTTGTGTGTGTGCACCCTGCCTGCGGTACACCTCCTGTGGGTGCATCTTGCCTGGGGGGCTGCTATTTGCGAGTCTGTCGCCACTTTCGAGGGCTGCTGGGGGGGACAGCATAGTGGGTAGCCGCCGCGGATTTTACCTAACAGCGAAGACTGATAGGTTTCTAGCAGGGTCAAAAGAGAGCATCCTGATTCCCCAGGGGGGTCTGGGCAGGATCCGGGGGATGCCGCGGAAAACCGGGGACTCCTTGTTTAGCCAATAGTAACGCACTTCATGGTCTTCGAGTTCCCAGAACTCCATCCCTGGGCATGATTTTGAATGCCCAGAGCCAACTGTAGGCCACTTCGTGGTCTTCGAGTTCCCAGAACTCCATTCCTGGGCATGATTTTGAATGCCCGGAGCCAACTGTAGGCCACTTCGTGGTCTTCGAGTTCCCAGAACTCCATTCCTGGGCATGATTTTGAATGCCTGGAGCCAACTTTAGGCCACTTCGTGGTCTTCGAGTTCCCAGAACTCCATTCCTGGGCATGATTTTGAATGCCTGGAGCCAACTGTAGGCCACTTCGTGGTCTTCGAGTTCCCAGAACTCCATTCCTGGGCATGATTTTGAATGCCCGGAGCCAACTGTAGGCCACTTCGTGGTCTTCGAGTTCCCAGAACTCCATTCCTGGGCATGATTTTGAATGCCCGGAGCCAACTGTAGGCCACTTCGTGTTCTTCGAGTTCCCAGAACTCCATTCCCGGGCCACATTTTGAATGCTGAGGCAGGCTGATGCTGAGGCCGAGGCAGGCTGAGGCTGAGGCAGGCTGAGGCTGAGGCCGAGGCTGAAGGCAGACTGAGGCTGAGGCTGAAGCAGCTGAGGCTGAGGCTGAGGCAGGCTGAGGCTGAGGCTGAGGCAGGCTGAGGCTGAGGCTGAGGCTGATGCAGGCTGAGGCTGAGGCAGGCTGAGGCTGAGGCCGAGGCTGAAGGCAGACTGAGGCTGAGGCTGAAGCAGGCTGAGGCTGAGGCTGAGGCTGAGGCTGAGGCTGAGGCTGAGGCCGAGGCTGAAGGCAGACTGAGGCTGAGGCTGAAGCAGGCTGAGGCTGAGGCAGGCTGAGGCTGAGGCTGAGGCAGGCTGAGGCTGAGGCTGAGGCTGATGCAGGCTGAGGCTGAGGCAGGCTGAGGCTGAGGCCGAGGCTGAAGGCAGACTGAGGCTGAGGCTGAAGCAGGCTGAGGCTGAGGCTGAGGCAGGCTGAGGCTGAGGCTGAGGCAGGCTGATGCTGAGGCAGGCTGAGGCTGAGGCTGAGGCTGATGCAGGCTGAGGCTGAGGCAGGCTGAGGCTGAGGCCGAGGCTGAAGGCAGACTGAGGCTGAGGCTGAAGCAGGCTGAGGCTGAGGCTGAGGCAGGCTGAGGCTGAGGCTGAGGCAGGCTGATGCTGAGGCAGGCTGAGGCTGAGGCTGAGGCTGATGCAGGCTGAGGCTGAGGCAGGCTGAGGCTGAGGCCGAGGCCGACGGCAGACTGAGGCTGAGGCTGAAGCAGGCTGAGGCTGAGGCAGAGGCAGGCTGAGGCTGAGGCTGATGCAGGCTGAGGCTGAGGCAGGCTGAGGCTGAGGCCGAGGCTGAAGGCAGACTGATGCTGAGGCTGAGGCAGGCTGAGACTGAGGCTGAGGCTGAGGCTGAGGCTGATGCAGGCTGAGGCTGAGGCTGAGGCAGGCTGAGGCTGAGGCTGTGACTGCGACTGCTGTCGCCACTGCGACTGTCATCGCGAATGCGACTACGACTGCGAGAACAGCAGAATTCTACAACTGGATTCTCATCTGAATCTTAAGGGGAATGCTTCCATATATGCTCCTACACATCGCTGTTAGGTAGCTTTGCCGGGATAATGTGGTTGTTGTTTTTGTTTCCTGCGCGCGTCGGCGGTGCTTTTGGCCAAGCTGCCGAGGCCACGGCGCGTGACCGCGGACACCGGAGCGGAGGAGGTGTCCAACGGCACGGACGCGAACAGCAGTGCCCCGTCCGCGGAGGGCGGGGGGGACATGGGGCATGGGACGGAGGGACAGAGTCAGAGGCGACGATAGGGGCGAATAGCCCAGGGGAGAGCAATACATGTACTCAGGTGCGCCGATGATCTGTCTTCGAAAAGGCTCCAGGGCGAATACGTGTAATGCCCGCCCCTGGGCTATTCGCCCCTATCGTCGCCGCCGACAGAGAGACGTATTGATTTGTGGTCTGCGTAGCCCAGCTCTGCCGCGGGTAGGACAGCATGTACGTGGAGCAATGGAGCACCGCACAAATTCACATTTTCGAGGGTCCGCGCGGATTTCGAGGATGCGCGCTGGTCCTCCTTCCCTGGTGCGCGGAGCACGCCAGGGGCGGCGCTGGAGGCCGCCAGGGGGGCCCAGCGCCGATCCTAAAGCCGCTTAGACCCTCGAAGGTTTCGGCTTACGCAGTTCTTTCTCCTATGACTCTATCACGGGTCGGACAGCATACTGCGGCGCTCAACTAGCCCACTGCTAGCGCTGGGTCCCCAGCTGGGGCAGTGAAGCAAGCACCAGTCAGCCAGCACGGGCGCAGTCGAACGTTGAACAGCAGTGCAGTAAGCATCCAGTCCAAAGGACTGAGGGTGCGGAAACTCGACATGGAGGGAGGAAAGGGGGAGGAGGTAGGAGGGAGGACGGAGAGGGAGACGATGATGGCGAGGAGGAGGAGGAGGAGGAGGAGGAGGAGGAGGAGGAGGAGGAGGAGGAGGAGGAGGAGGAGTCCCAGCCTAATTGGGTCACTGGCCGTGGCGCGAGGCGAACCCCGCCTCGCAAACTCTCCGCTGGAGGGCTGCTCTCTTCTCTGGGGGACGGCGCGAGCGCGCGAGGGCTGGCCGTGTTCCGAGCCTGAAGCAGCGCGGAGCGCGAAGTCGGGCGACCCAGAGTAGGGAGGTGAAGAGCATGGCCCTAAAAGGGCCCTGCAGGGCCCGTCTCTTCACCCCCCTATCTTCGGGCGACGAAATCTATACGTATCCACTGCTCTCCCTCTTGGAGCCATCTGGGGGCCGTCTTGGGCCCTCTTGGCGCCCTCTAGGGCCGTCTCGGGGCCCTCTTGGGCCGTTTTGGGACCCTCTTGGGCCGTTTGGGGGCGATCTTGGGGCCTCTTGGGCCATGGAAGCGAAAAAGGCGAGAACGCCCATGTCTTTCAAACATTTGAAGGAGAATCAATGGTCTTTGCCTCCTGGGGCCCTCTTGGGAGGTCTCTTGGAGGCGTCTTGGGGCGTTTTGGGGGCATCTTGGGCCGTCTGGAGGCCATCCTGGGCATTTTGGAACGATCTTTCGGCGACTCGGGCCCCCCTTGGAAAGTCTTTGGCCCTCTTGGAAAGTCTTGGGGTCCTCTATCCCCGTTCGTCTGGGGCCAGGGGCGCGTTCGTCCGGGGGAACGAGCGCGTGCTGTGGTCGCTTGGGGGTGGGGGGAATTGAACCCGGACCTCCCCCCTTCCCCTGGATGGGGGCGGGGCGTTTCGACCCCGGCCCCCTTCCTTCCTCCCTTGCTTCCCCTCCTCTCCTCGGGCCGGCGACTGCGTCGGCGGCGGCTGGCGGCGGCGGCGGGGACGATGATTCTTCTTCTGGGCCGGCGCCGGCGCCTGTGCCGTCGGGCGGCGGCGGCGAGGAGCGTCGACGAGGACGGTGGTGGTGGTGGGTTGTGGTGGTGGTGGTGGTGGCTTGTGGTGGTGGTTGTGGTGGTGGTGTGGTGGTTTGTTGTGGTGGTGGTGGTGGTTGTGGTGGTGGCTTGTGGTGGTGGTTGTGGTGGTGGTGTGGTGGTTTGCTGTGGTGGTGGTGGTGGTTGTGGTGGTGGCTTGTGGTGATGGTGGTGGTGGTGGTTTGGTGGTGGTGTGGTGGTAGTTTGTGGTGGTGGTGGTGGTGGGTTGTGGTGGTGGTGGTAGTGGTGGCGGTGTGGTGGTGGTTTGTGGTGGTGGTGGTGCTGGTGGGTTGTGGTGGTGGCAGTGGTTTGTGGAGGTGGTGCTGGTGGTGGTGGTGCTGGTGGCGGCGGTGGTGGTGGTGTGGTTGTTTGTGGTGGTGGCGGTGGGTTGTGCTGCTAGTAGTGGTGGTGGTTGTGGCGGTGGCGGTGGTGGTGTGGTAGATTGTGGTGGTGTTGGTAGTGGTGGTGGGCTTTTGTTGTGGTGGTGGTGATGGTGAGTTGTGGTGGTGATGGTTGTGGTGTTGTGGTGGTGGTGGTGGTGTGTTGGTGGTTTGTGATGGTGGTGGTGGTGGTGGTGGGTTGTGGTGGTGGCGGTGGTTTGTGGACGTGGTGGTGGTGGTGGGTTGTGGTGGTGGCGGTGGTGGTGGTGGTGGTGTGGTGGTTTGTGGTGATGGCGGTGGGTTGTGCTGCTAGTAGTGGTGGTGGTAGTGTCGGTGGTGGTGCTGGTGTGTTAGATTGTGGTGGTGGGGGTGGTGATAGTGGTGGTGGGTTTTCGTGGTGGTGGTGATGGTGGGTTGTGGTGGTGGTTGTGGTGGTGGTGGTGGCTGTGGTGGTGGTGGTGGTTGGTTGAGGCGGTGGTGGTGGTGGTAGTGGTGGCGGTGGTGGTAGTGGTGGTAATCGTCGCTGCGTCTCCGCCGTGGCCAGCGCCAGCGCCGTCGCTGCTGGGCGCCGGGGGGGGGGTTTGAACCCCCCCCTGGGCTGCCTCTGGTCATCGTCGCTGCGTTCCCGCCGTCGGCGCTGCTGGCGGCCGCCAGCGCCGGCACCGGCGGGGGGGGGGGTTGGGGGGTTTGGGGGGGAGTCCCGTAAAAGGGCGAGAACGCCCTATAGGTCCGTTCCCGTTCCCGTTCTCGTTCCCGTTCTCGTTCCCGTTCCCGTTTCGTTCCCGTTCCGTTCCCGTTCCCGTTCCCGTTTCGTTCCCGCCCGGTCGCGTGCCCGTCTACCCCCCCTAAGCCTTCTAGCCGACCCAAGAAACGCGAACGGGAACAGGAACGGCAAGCCTCCTACGGCCTCCCAGGGCCTCCCAGACGACCCAAGAGGTCTCCCGGAGGCCTCCCAGACGACCCAAGAGGCCTCCCAGAGGCCTCACAGACGACCCAAGAGGCCTCCCAGAGGCCTCCCAGAGGCCTCCCAGAGGCCTACTGCTACTACTACTACTACTACTACTACTACTACTACTACTACTACTACTACTACTACTACTACTACTACTACTACTACTACTACTACTACTACTACTACTACTACTACTACTACTACTACTACTACTACTACTACTACTACTACTACTACTACTACTACTACTACTACGTTAGGTTCGCGTCGTGTCGACCAGCGGCGACTCCAGCGCGGGCGTTCAAGTTTGAACGCCGCCGGCGACCCAGAATCGATCGATGTTGAACGATCGGACGTTGCGGCAGCGGCCGATCGTTCAAGGTTGAACGATCCCTGCGGTGTCAAAAACCAACGCTGGGGTCGGCACGACACGAACCTGCCGTACTACTACTACTACTACTACTACTACTACTACTACTACTACTACTACTACTACTACTACTACTACTACTACTACTACTACTACTACTACTACTACTACTACTACTACTACTACTACTACTACTACTACTACTACTACTACTACTACTACTACTACTACTATTACTACTACTACTACTACTACTACTTCTAGTAGCCTCCTGCAAACCAAAAAGTGATCCCTCCAGAGGTCGCTTGCTCGTCCGAACAAGTTCTGGCACCCACTGAACTCTGCAATTTCTTCAGCAATAAACAGAGCGCAACAAGAAGTCGTGTATTCCGGCGAAACATCTGGGTCCACAGTATTCAGCTCAAAATCGAAAATCTGGAGTTTCACATTATTTGCGCTCTCAGACTCCATACTCCCTAGAGACTGCCCAGCACCTGCTTCCACGTCAACGACTGCCATCAAAGAGCCCAGCACAAGGTACACACAAGTTACCATTTGCAAGTATCTGCTCAAATAAAAGGACTGCGCAGTCAAAACCTGAGCCACAATGGCTACGGAATGGTCTGGTGTCCCTGGGCTGTATCCGCCACCGTGCCGCCTGGCACGTTGAGGCGTGCTAGAATGCCAAGTGCTGTCTGGTGGGGGTTCTCCTGGAGGCCCCAAGAGGCCTCCAAGAAACCCCAAGAGGCTTCCAACTGCTCCCCAAGAGGCCCCCGAGAAGCCCCCAGAAGCTCAAGCGGCTCCCAAGAGGCCCCCGGACGGCATGGAGGGGGCTTCAAAACTGCCTCCAGCAGGCCCCCGAAAGGCCTCCCGCGATGTCCCGACGATCATCATCATCATAATCGTCGTCATCATCATCACCACCACCGTTATCATCATCATCGTCATCATCATCACCATTATCATCATTACCATCGTCATCGTCGTCATCGTCATCACCATCACCATCATCATCATGATCAGCATCGTCATCAGCATCATCAGCATCATCATCGTCATCATCATCAACATCATCATCCTCGTCATCGCTATCGTCGTCGTCATCGACATCATCATCATCGTCATCATCGTCGTCATCATAATCACCGTCGTCATCAGCATCCTCATCCTCATCATCCTCATCATCAGCAGCATCATCATCATCATTATCATCAGCAGCATCAGCATCATCATCATCATCACCACGGTGGCGGGAGCTGCCGCAGGCAGCTGGATATGCACGAGTGGATTAACATAACCATGGGTGGGTGGGCTACGCTGGGGATGGCCTCCACGACGGCCAAGATGGCCTCCTGGACGGATAAGATTGCCTCCAATATGGCCTAAGACACGTAAGAGATTGCATTCAAGCGTGCTAAGATGGTCCAGTGTGGCCTCCAGGATGGCCAGCATGCCGTCGAAAACTGCCAGGACGGCCCTGCATGGCCCCCGAGGCGACCGAAGATGCCCTCCAAGACGGCCAAGATTGCCCGAAAAGGAGTCCAGATGGCCCCAAGTGG